TGCCCGCAGCCAGTTTCTTGCCATCGTGGACGCCGTGATCTCTGTACTCCCTGCCCCAAGGCGGTTTTTCCTCTCAGAATGTTTCCTTTTCTGGGAACGTAGACCTGTTGGTCTTGGGAGCCTGCGCTGGCTACTCAGCACAGCCGCCGGCCGGGTCGCCGGAGATCCACTCGGAGAAGGGGCCAGGGCTGCCCCCGTGGGCAGGCCTCTGGCGCCTCCGCTCCAGCTGTGGGCACTGTCCAGGCTGCTTCCGTCCTCAGCATCGCTCCTTGGGGTTCCGTCTCGTATTGTCGCCCGGGTCGGGTGTACCCGTGCCCTGGTGGAGGCCGCCTGCCCCGCTGCCCTGTCTACACTGGCTTTGGGGCGAGTCCCAGACCGGTGCTGCGTCTCCTCAGCTCACTGGCCATCCGGAGCGGAGGTGGGGTCTGGAGAGGGCTGTCCTGCACAGGGTGAGCCGTAGACGGGTGCGCCTGACCCCGGCTCCCCCAGGTGTGCAAGAATCGGCCTGTGTGGTGCCGGCTGGCAGCGTGGGGTTGGACACAATGCCGCCTGCACCAGGGCTCCTTCTGCTGGGCCCGGGGTGGGGACGGCCTGGCATGCAGTGCTGAGGCCCCTCCTGCCGTGTGACGCCCACCAGCCGGTCTGCACCGCGCCCCCCACTTCCCCCTACCCCCCACCCCCGTCCTCACCTGCCCTGCCCACCTCGAGGCTCATGCCCACTTTCAGTTACTTTGTTACTTCAGTTACTTTGAATACAAAATTGATTCCTCGGGGGCATCCATCACCCGGTTGCCAGTGTGCGCCCTGCTGGACAGGGCCCGGCCGGGCCAGAGAGGGCGGGTCTGCCGCGGGGCTGGGCAGCGGGAGAGGCCAGCGAAAGGAGGCGGCGGCGGGGCTGGGCTGCCCGCCCCGGCTCCCGGCCCTCTGCCCCCCAGCTGTGCTCTGCCCGATGGACCAGGGCCATTAAGCCCCAGTAATACCTGTTTTTTGCAGCTAACGTACAAAACACCAATAGCTTCAGCTGAAATGGATTTTAAAACTGTCATTTTATGGAGAATTTTACTTTCCATCTTGTTGTTTATTAGACTCTTAAAGGGAAAGCGTGTAATGCAGCCGTTGATCGAAACACCGGTCGAGTAGATGTGAGCGTGTAAGTGGCCGAGCCCTCGAGAGGAGGCCCACCGCCAGCTTCCCCGTCCCCGCCCGCTCACGGCCCCTTCTGCTCGGCTGGGGCGGAGCAGCCAAGCGGCTGGAGGGGGGGCAGCGACCCTGGGGGCAGGCCCTGCCCCGCCCTCCTCACCCCATCCAGGCACCTCCAGCCTGCGGCCCCCCACCAGTGAGAAGGCGTGTGTGCTGCCCTGCAGGGCACCGCCCTGGTGGGGCCAGAGGCCAGACCTCGCCCCCCTCCTGGCCCTGAGGCCCTGCCTGAGCCCGCGCTGGTCTGCTGGGGCCGCTTTCCCTCCGTGCTCCCAGAGGTGGAGCCGGGCCTCGCGGGCAGGGGCGTCCAGGCAGGGCCCGCGCCTCCCGCGGCGCCGTCAGCGATTCTGTGGAAAGCCCACTTAAGCAGTTTGCGCCCGTCACGGTGGGGCTGCGCTGACCTACTTGGGAGTCCCCGCTTCTGCTGACGGCGCACTCCCGCGCTGCAGAGCCCGCAAACCCACTCCCTTCCTGAAAGCTCCCACCCGCCCCCGTCTGGTCCTCAGGGTCCGCCCCTCCCCCACCCAGTGCCGCCCCCAGGCCACCCACATGAGGGTTGGGGGCGACCAGCAGCACACGGACCCCTTGTTCCCAGCAGGTCCACAGTGTCCCCCCAGGCCGCAATGTCCCCCCAGCTGCTGTGGTCACCAGGCCAGGTGGGGCCCTCAGGGCGCCCCTCCAGGCCTCTCGCCCCAGGGGGTGTCTGCAGGGGAGTGAGTCTGGAGGCTCCCAGGACTGGAGCCCTGCCTCCCTGCAGCTCCAGCCCCTGAGCCACAGCGCCCTGAGCCACAGCACCGGGGCCTGGGCTGGGCCGGCCCCCAGCTCGCCTTGTGTCCAGGCCACTGCCCGGGCCCCTCCGCACACAGGCCGCTGTGCTGTCGGAGCAACGAGGGCGCCTTCCTCTGGTGCAGAGATGGCAGAGAGTGTGTCCCTGCCCGCCCAGGCCCGGCGTGGCCGGCGGGTCTCCCCAAATCTGCTGGAGCAGGCCAGATCCGGGGCTAGTCAGGGAACTGCCCAGCTGCCCCAGGTGCTCCTCACGCCTCCCTGCCTCAGACCCTCGGGCACTGGCAAGACCTGAGGGTGCCCTGGCCCAGCCCTCCCTCGGCTGTCACCGCAGAGGCCTCTAGGCCTGTGGGGCTTCCCAGTGGGGGTGGGCTGTGTCCAGGCCTTGGGTTCTGTGTGAAGGTCTCTACAACCCTGGGAGGAGGGTCCATCCCAGGCCCCAGGGCCTTGGAGAGCCTCAGGGTTGAAAGAGCCAGAGTGTGGGCCTCCCGGGTGGCGCAAGGGGTTAAGCACCGCACTATGAAGCTGTCCTCACCTCTGCAGCATGAGTTCAATCCCCAGTTGGCCAGGGAGCTACCCACATGGCGCAGCAGACCTCCCCCATCTCGCCCACTGCTCCCCTCAGCAATGTATTTCGTCAGTCTGCCTGTTCTGCTCCCCACTCTGTCTCTGGTGAATCCTCTCACCCCCTGCATCTCTGGCCTGTACCCCAGTTCTTGTATGCATCAATAAGTAAATCAATCTTCAAAAAAAAAAGCCAGAGTGGGGGCTGCAGAGGAGCCCTGCTCTCGGTCTGAGCGTTCCTGGCCCAGAGCACCACCAAGGTGGGGCTACTCCTGGGGTCTCCACCCACTGCAGTTGTCTGTCCAGCCCAGAAAGCTTCGCCTCAGGCTGGAGTGGGGATGGCCACGGGAGTGGGTGGGGAGCCAGCCATGCCTGGCCAGGTCCTGGGGCAGGAGCATGGGCCGCTGTGGGCCCTGCGGGCGCACCCCTGGCCCTTGGCAGACACACAGCTGAGGGCAGCCTGAGAGGCCACCTGCTCTGGGCAGTGGCCTCGGGCAGGGAGGAAGCAGGGCCCTGGACCGAGGCACCCCCAGTAGCAGCACTCCCGGGTTTTGGTGTCTGAGGAAAGCACCTCCGTCCTGCCAGACTCTGCCAGGGCCCCCAGCTTCCTTCCCTGGGGTGGCCTCCGGCCTGCCCCAGCCCCGTGCTCTCCTCTGCGCCTGCAGCCCCGGCAGGCGGACGGCCCGCCCTTCGGCAGCAGAGGCCGAGGCTGTCGCCCCTGCCCCTCTGCGGGCTCTCCCTGTTACTCCACTTTCCATTTAAAATGTTACCCACTGTCCTTTGCCCCTCCCCGCGAGGGCAGCCCAGCCCTGGTGTAGTCAAGGTTGTGGTGATAAATCCTGGGGCATTGTCACTTCTATTCGGGGTAAATTGGCTGGCGCTTTCGGGCTGAAGGGAAGATAATTCGCTGTAGTATTTCAAATGGATTAGAAATGGATTTGAAGGAAGTCCGGGCCTCCCATTACAAAGGCGGGAAGGAGGGCTGTCTGAAGGCTCGGTTCCCTCCCTGGCCGTCATTATCCACGCTTAATACCTTTCCTATTTTCCAGCGTTAATGAAATTTCCTGGCGGCGTCGGCCTGCCGGACGGACAGGAGAAGCCTTTAGCTCCGCGGGCCCCGGCTGCAGAAAAGGAATTACAGGCCCTTGCCGTGAGGGCCTTGGCCCTGCTATTATCTCGTTAATTTTATCCCCCCTCTCAATACAGCTTCCTTCCAGAGGCTGTCCTCCCCATTAGGGGGCGATTTACGGCAGTGCTCTGACACCCGCGGCGGAGAGGCTCGGGGAGCAGCCCAGGTCCATGGCCAGCGGGGCCTAGCCCGCCCCTGGCCAGCCCTCCCCGCCTGCTGGCCTGCTGGCCTGCTGGCCTGCGGGGGCAGTGCCTCTGGGCATGAGACCTTAGGACTGTGGGCTGTGTGGCTGGCCCTGCTGGGCACGCTGGGCGTGGGCTACACTGCCCCCGAGAGTCGTCATGGGGGCTGGCACGGGAGGAGACCCCGGCCCCTTCTCTGTTGGAGGCGGGGCCCACCGGGAGGGTCCCCAGCCTGCAGGCCTGGCCACCCCCGAGGGCCCTCCTGCGTGGGGACAGCCGGACCTGCCGGGCACGCCTGGTTCCTCTGACTGTGTCCCGTGAACTTGAGTTTCGTTAAGGGGAAGTGGGTTCAGTGCTCCATGACTCCGCGGCCCCTCCTGCCACCCCGCCCTCACTCCAAAGCTTCGGGTCTCCCTAGAGCCAGAGGCTGTGGGGCTGGAAACACCCCAGCTTGCAGGTTTGCGGAGGCCCAGAGGGGCCCCTCCCACGCGCCTGTGGGGATCCACCGTGGGCGCCTGCGGCGTTGTCAGGACGCCTCTCAGCCACGTCTGGGGCCATGTTCCACAGACCGCTCTCGGGGGCCCTGGGAAAGGTTTGGCCCTGCCCCTGGTGAGTTGGGGGTCATGTGCTTCCCAGGGAGGGGCAGGGCTGTGGGGTCCTCTGTGTGAGCACATTGGCCACCCTTCCAGGACCCCTCAGCCACCCCAAAGGCCGCAGGGCCCACCTCTCTTCTCACTTCGGCCAGTCCCCTGCTGGCCGCTGCCGCTGTGCCCTACCTGGGGCCTCCTGGGAGGACGGGTGGGGCCTGGTGCCGGCCTGCGTGAGCTCGCCGCCAACGCCGCTGCAGCCTGCAGCCACTTCTCATGCGGTCACCGCTTGCCGTGTGGACGTGTGCCCAGCAGGGCGTCGGCATCCTCCTGACCCTCGGCCTCCCTTGGTGTTTCACCTGACGGGGATAAGCCTGGGGAGGGACAGGAGGGCAGGTGGCCTCTGTGGCCCCAGACCTTTGGGGTAACTCCCCAGGGCTCTCCTGGCCCCTGGCCCTGGCGGTGCTGGCCTGAACCACCTGCCGCCCCCGCCTGCCTGGCCACGCCGTCAGGGCTGGCATCCACCAGCTGCGGCTGAGGTGATTCCTGTCCCCGCAGGTCCCTGGTGCTGAACCGCCTGCGCCCGGCAGCTGGGGGCTGGCGGGGCCGCGGCTACCGCTGCATCGGAGGCGTCCTCTACAAGGTGTCGGCCAACAAGCTCTCCAAGACTGGCGGCCGCACGGGCGACGGGGGCAGTAGGCCCCTGCTGCGTGCAGGTGAGGGGGCCGCTCTTGGGTCTGGGTCCCTCCTCAGAGCGCAGGGCTCCCAGCTCCCACGGCCAAGGGGTCCCTGCGGGTGGCCCCCGAAAGCGCCGGAGCCCTGTGCCTGGCGCCCCTCGCCTCTGGCGCTGTGCCGGCTCTGCGCCTGGCCCACAGAGCGGGCCTGGGCCGACAGCTCACACTGACAGAGGCACCGGCTCTCGGTCCAGCTGTGCCCCCTTCTGTTATCAAAGGGGAGGAGCAAGGCAGCAGGCGGCCCCTCAGCGCCTGTCAGGCCAGGAGGGCCGCCTTGCACACCGTGGCCCCCCTGCTGCCCTCGGGGCCCTGCGGTGACCCCAGGGCGCATGTCCAGTGCAGGCCCTTCTCTGGCTGCCCCGGGGACCCCTGCTGAGCCAGGGGCCTGAGAGCCTGCTCAGCTGGCTGGGCAGGGCTGGCGAGGACTCTGGTGTGCCCTCCACCATGCCAGCCTGCGGGAGACAGCGGACTGTGGGGCTGAGGAGCAGAGAGGGGCCTTGGCGCGGGAGGTCCGCAGGGCACTGGAGGGACTGGGAGTGCCAGCCCCACAGCTGCCCCTGGGCAAAGGGCGCCCCTGACGGCCCTCTGGCCTGAGCGCCACCTGCACCGGGGGCCCGGGGGGCCGTGACGGGCGCAGTGCCTCTCTGAGGGGCCTGGCTGAAGGGGCACCTCCCATGGGCCCTGGTCCCAGAGGGCCGGGTCTCCCGTGGGTGGGGCCCGAGGGTGGGGGAGGCGGTGGGTTTGGGCCCAGCGCGCTGGCAGTGGACTCAGGGGTCACACTCAACACTGGGGCGGGCACCTCCTTGGCGCTGGGTGGCCCTGGGAGTGGGAGCGGCCTCCAGGGCTCGGGCCTCCCCGCGCTGGGCCGTCCCCATCTGCCCACACCGCCCGCTCCGGCCAGGAGGAGAGGCGACTGCTCCTGCAGCGGGAGGTGGGGACGCCGCTGCCCCGCCGCTCAGACGGGCAGTAATTAAAGAAATAAATTTCCTCCTCCGGTGTCAGCGCAACTGGGGCGTCAGCAGGCGGCTCCTTGGGAGGGGCGAGCTCCTCCTGGCCTGCGGCCCCCAGCCCTGGCCTCCCTGTCCCCCAGCGCCCCCTCGGTCTGCCTCCCGCCCCCCCCTTTCCTCCCTGCCCCTTCTCTGGCCTCCCGGCAGTCAGCTCCTCTAGGGTGGGACCGGCCCCTGGTTGGGATCCAGACCGGACTTTGTGGGGAGCAGAGATGCCGTGGGGTCCTGCGCACCCCTCTGGCCTGGGGGCCCTTCAGGGATGTTGCCTTCTTAGGGCTCCCCTCAGCCTCCCTGGAAGCCCAGGCGCTTACCCTGTGACAGGGCCACCCCCATCCTGAGGACCAACCCCAACCCCCGTCCCTGCTTGCTGAGACTGGACGGGCAGGCCCTGGCCCTGCAGGACCCAACTGTCTGAGCCTCCACGCTTGACCGGGGCCAGGCGGGACGGTGGGCTGGAGGGTGACCACTGTCCAGAGCCCCCATCCCCAGCCTCCCAGTGGCTCCCACCGGGTGCCCTTCCCCAGAGAGTGACCCCAGCCCCTGAGCTGGGGACCGCATCCTCGGGGTGTGTGGGCAGTGAGGGCTGGGTGGCTGCAGTGGGACTCCCTGGGCCTGGCGGGACCCCCCAGATCCACAGCCCCACCTCGCAGTGGAGCAGGGGACTGGAGGGAGCGGCTTTACTATTTTGAGCAGACCCCCGGGAAGTGCAAGGTGCCGTTCTCTGGAAAGTTCCCGCCTTCTGCTCCAGGTTGCAGGGTTTTGGTGAACTTTTTAACACCTCTCAGTTAGCTCTGCTGCCTGGTTTCCAGCCGCGCTGCTTTATGCGCATTTTTTAGCACTGGAAGCATTTGGAAAGCTGCCTCCGTTCTCAGACCCCCCCCCACCCCAGCCTGCGCGCTGGCTCTGCGGAGCACGTGGAGGGGGGAGTCAGCCTTCCCCAGATCAGGGTGGGGAGCAGATGGCACCACAGGGTCACCAGCAGCCAGACGACAGCCCCAGACTGCCCTTGGCCACTCCCTGGGGCTGGCACCCCAGGACAGGTGTCCTGCCTGGAGCCCCTGCAGCTCCCTGCTGGCCCCACTGGAGCAGCTCCTCGTGAGCAGCACCTCCCACTCTTGGGGTGTCGCCCGCCCATTGAACTTGAGATGGACGCAGAGGGCGGTGGCTGCCCCTGTCAGGACGAAGCTCACAGCCCTTGGGGCTCCAGAGCGCAGGACCTGGGCCTTGTTGGGGGCCGGGAGAGGCCCGGGGAGACGAGGGAACCTGCAGGTGGCAGGAGGGCCAGGCCATTGGGGGCCCGGGTGCAGGCGCCTGGGGAGCCCCGCTGTAAACCTGGGGTGGCTTTGTCCCTTAGGTCCCCGAGGTTCTGAGGGACGTCACTTGGCCCCCTTTCTGCCCACAAGTGCCTGTAGGGAGGGCCCTGCTGGCCCAGCACGCTGAGGGCCCTGGGGAGCAGGCACGCCCTGCCTTGCCTTGCCCTCCTCCGTGCTGGGGGGCGACCACACATCTGAAGAGGCAGGAGCCCCCGCACGCCCCAGCCTCGAGTGACTCCTCCAGCTCCCTCCCTGTCCCTGCCATCCGCGATGCCCTGTAGGCCGCAGTCGGAGACCTGGACAGGCCCGGTAGGGTCTGCGGGGTTTGGGAGCTCCCGTGAGGCGTGTGGGGGTGGCGAGAACCCCAGGCATCACCCACGGGCACTTCGGGGGCCGTTTTACCACCTGTTGCTGCCCACTGCCCCCCTCGCCTCCTGCTGAGCCAGCCACACGTGCCCCTGGCAGAGGGAGCCCCCAGGCAAGGCCCTGGCCTCGGGGCCCTCCTCCCGCCTACGCTGTCCACCTCCGCACTGGTCCCAGGGTGGCGCCGAGCGGAGCGCTGGACCGAGGGGCCGGCGTGACCCAGAATCTCCCCACAGCCCGCGCAGACCCGGCCAGCAGCTGCAGCCGCTCCCTGGCCAGGTGCGTCCTCGCAGTGGGGGTGGGGGCGGGGCCCCCCCCGAGGCCGCCCCCCCTCACAGCCCTTCGCCCTGTCCCCAGCCGGGCCATCCAGCGCAGCCTGGCCATCGTGCGGCAGGCGCGGCGGCGGCGGCAGCGCCGGCAGGAGGAGGAGTACTGCATGTTCTACACCCGCTTCGGCCGCTGCAACCGCGGCGAGCGCTGCCCCTACATCCACGACCCCGAGAAGGTGGCCGTGTGCACCAGGTGGGCGAGCGGGCGGCTGCCCTTCCCCCGCACGCCCCGGGGCGCCCGCCTGCCCCCCACCCCTGCGCCCATCGGCTCCCGCCTGCACCGCTATGCCCCCCCGCCCCCCAGCTACGCCCCGTGGGCAGGTCTCAGGGACCCCCGCCCCAGGGCGCCCGCCTGCCCCCCCATGCCTGGCCACGTCCTGGGGCTCCCGCTTGCTCCCCCCACGCCCCTGGGCTCCCACCTGGCCCCCCACCCCGTGCTATGCCTGTGGGCTCCCACCTGCCCCCCTAGCTACAGCCCTATGGGCAGATCTCGGGGACCCCGCCTGCCCCCCGACCAGGCTCCCTCCTCACCCCCTGGCCCCCATGCACACAGATTTGTCCGGGGAACGTGCAAGAAGACCGATGGGACCTGCCCCTTCTCCCACCACGTCTCTAAGGAGAAGGTGAGCTCAGCCCCCCTGCCGCCACGCCTCCCCCCCACCCCGCGCCCTGGGAGCGGCTGCGGACCCAGGCTCTGCTCTCGGGAGGCCAGCTCAGTGGAGAGCACCCCAGGGCCACCCCACGTCCTGTGCCCCACGTGCCTCCGGTGCCCCAGACCCTGCCCAGGCCTCGGGGCTTCTCCAGGCCTGCCCGGGAAAGAGGGTTGCGGAGGTGGGGTGCCCCCGCTTGGGCACAGCAGGCAGCTTGGGCAGGTTGGGGTGGCGGCGGGCGGGGGGTGCTGCTGCTACAACAGCTTTTCCCCTTGAGGAACTTAAAGAGAATCAGCATTTTTCTCCCTGATAGAGCTCCGAAGCTCTGCTGTGAGCAATTTGGAGATTCACATCGAGTTCCGGGTTCATTAGCTCCCGGCCCGGCGCCGCCCGCACCGTCTGCGCCCGCCCGCGCCCTGAATTAATGTTATTGTTATTTGTGTGGACGTGGTGGGTGCAAACAAGGTTAATTGAAATGAGAATGCGGCTTTCTCTTGATAACGGCCGCCCTGACAGCTAGGAGGGTCCGTTTGGTGGAAGAGTTGGCTTTATTATCCCTTTTTATTAGAGCTAATTTGGGCTCTATATCAAAAGCCACATTAAGGGAATTGTCTGCGGCCGCGCCCGCCCAGCCAGCCCCTCTCCCCTCCGCGCTGCAGTTAAAAGACAATTAAAAATAAACCCGCTCCTGGGTCGCCCTTTGTTTCCTGCTCCCCCTCTGCCCTCCCTGGCCTCAGGCAAGTTCCTACCTCACCCCCAAAACGTGGCTCTGGGGGCCGTTGAGGCTCACTAGCCAGCCCCCAGCAGGTAGGCCAGGTAGGGAGCTAGCGGAAGCCCCGAGCGCCCAGCAGGGGCCAGTGGGGATTGTGGGGCGCTGGTGTGGGGCCCCAACCCAGATCTGACCAAGGAGGGGCAGGCGGAGGGACGGGCGACAGCCCTGGCAGATGTGGACTGGCAGGCGCGTGACTCCGAGGAGGCTGGAGTGGTGCGGCGGGGCCCCCAGGAGGCAGGCTTCACACCTGCCCTGCTTGCTTTGCCGGTGGACGGAGGAGGAGGAGGCGCTGGGTACCTGCGTGCCCCGGGCAGTCTCCCGCTGGTCCCGCCCCCAGAGTCCACCTCCCAGCTAATGCCTGAGCCCAGACACTGCCAGGTGTGCAGCGCCCCGTAGGCCCCGGCCGGTCCCGCCTGCAGCCCCTGCTTCCTCTGCCAGCCCCAGCAGGCTGCCGAGCGGCCCTCACCCACCTGCCCCCACAGATGCCCGTGTGCTCCTACTTCCTGAGGGGGATTTGCAACAACAGCGACTGTCCCTACAGCCATGTCTACGTGTCCCGGAAGGCAGAGGTCTGCACGGACTTCCTCAAAGGCTACTGCCCGCTGGGCGCCAAGGTGAGGGCCTGCCTGGCTTGTGCCCTCAGCTTGCTCAGTCCAGGCTGTGGCTTAAGCCTTGCTGGGCACAGGGGTGCCGGGTCTCCGCACCTTAGCATGTCAAGGCTTAGAGGCTGCTGGGGGGCTGGGATGGGGGCGCAGGCCGAGGGTGCAGGCTGGTGTCCCGGGAGCACAGTTGGGGAGCTGGTCTGGAGAGACGGGCGCCCACTGGGGAGGCCCTGGCGCCCTCCTGCTGCGCCTGGGCAGCCTGGCAGGTGCCGATCTCTGGGCAAGCCCCAGGCAGCTCTTGGAGAGCGTCTTCCTGCCTGCCCACGCCCGGCCGCCCGCCGCCTCTGCTCCCCAGCCAGCCGGGCCCTGCGGGGGCACGGCAGGTCCCCAGAGCCAGTGGACTTGTGTCAACTCTGCAGCTCTCCTGAGGATCCGGCGGGCGGGGCTCCGCTGCCCGAAGGGAAGGGGCGCCTCCCGCAGGCGGCCGCCGGGGGCAGCGCGGGGCGGCACGGTGGGCGGGAAAGCGCCAGCAGCCTTCGGGGGCGGCGGGCGGGTGAGGGTTAACTTTATTCTCTCAATAATGTAAAAAGTGCTGAGTCGTCAGCGTGCGTCGGAAGTCGAAGTCCTCAACCGGGCCCCAGAGAGTTTATAATATTCCACTGAATCAAGGGAAATTGTTAACCTTGCTTCATAAACCGCGGCTCGTTAAAGGGGCCGCTCCTGTTTGTCGGCGGCAGGCGCCGGCCCGCCCTCGGGTGCTGGGGCCCAGAGGCCCTCCCGCCTTCTGGGGTCCCCCACACTCTCAGGGCCGGGGTCTGGCTGGCGGCCTCCCCTGGGCCCTCCCTTGGTGCCAACCGGGCTCCTCGGCGGCCTCTCTCTGACACTCCCTCCCCAAGGAGTCGCTGCCAGTTGGCGCTTCTGCTCCAGACGCTTCTGCCGGCCCTCGCCTCTGCCTGTGCTGGTGGTGCCCCCGGGCAGAAGGCGCCCACCCGCCTGTCTGTCTGTGGCAGCGCGGATCCGGCTCCCGCGTCACCCGGCGCTGCGGTCGCTGTCAGCTTCCTGCCTGTGTGGCCCCACCTTGTGTCCCCCACACCTGAGCCCCCGCCCCCCACGTCCTGCAGCGTTTCCAGAACAGCCGGATGGAGACGTAGCTCGCGTTAACTGCCTGGCACGGGTCTCTCCATGTGTCGCTGGTGCAGTCACAGGAAGTCATTATAAGTGAAACCCGCTGTCTCCCAGGGGGGATTCAGCGGCGTCGGGCCTCCTGCGGCCACCACCCCCACTCCCAGCTGCCTGCCCGTCTCCAGTGGGCGACCCTGCCGCGGCCAGTGCTGCGCGGCCAGGCTTGCAGGTGCTGCCCGCACCTGTGTGGCACGTGACTTCGTCCCTCTGTTATAGGGCAGCCCCGATACAAGACGGGTTGCCTGACTGTGGGACATCCTTTCCCCCTAACACCTCTGGCCTCACTTGTCAGCTCTCCCAGCATCTCCGGGGCTTCCTCAGGGTCTCCTGTCTGAGGCCAGGTCACAGGCGACCGGCCGCTTATGCCCCTGACCTGGCCTCCCGCCTGCTGCCCGGAGCCCCGGCCGGCGCACGGTCCACAGGCGGGAGTGTGCAGGGCGTCCACGTCCTGCCCCTCGTCCGCAGGGAGGGCCCATCCGTCCCAGGTGTGCGTCTGGCCAGGCAAGGGCTGGGCCTGGGCCTGTCGGGCAGAGACCAGCCTCTCCTGGCTCGGTGCTCTGGCGTGAGGAGGGCGGGGCTCGGCAGGTCCCTGTGTGTGAGAGGCTGGTGTGCTGCTGCTTCGGTCTGGGGGTGTCTGGTCTGGGGGTGTCTGTCGGAGGGGGGCTCCGCAGGGGTCTGTGTCCGCACCCTGAGGGGCCTCCAGCCGGCTCCGCAGGCTCCTTGGCGCTGGCATGAGGGAGGCCGGCCCACAGCGGGGCTCGGGGATTTGGGCGGGGCCCGCGCCGGCTCTCCCTGACCTTGTGGGTCCCAGCAGTGGAGCCCCCAGCGCCTGGAGGCCGTGGCCGCCAGCTCGGCTCCTCTCCACGGGCGGTCAGCGTGCAAGGCCCTGCGCAGCCTGGCCTGCCAACGGCACGTGGCTCTGTGCCCGCCGCGCACGCCTGAGACTGGGGTCCGAGGCTTTTCTCTGCTTTGCCCAAGGCCCATCGGCAACGCGGCCTTAGCTGTCTTCGGAGAACCAGCTTTCGGTCTCATCACTGACCCTCTCCGGCTCTCCTGACTCCCGGCCCCAGCGTTGCTCTGCCTGCCGTGGGGGTCTGCTGCTGGCGCTCCCCAGGCCCAGGGCGGGGGCTTCCAGCACTGCCCAGAAAGCTGACTTTCCCTGGGGGGGGGGGGGAGGGGGGGCGGGGCAGGGGCTGGGGGTGGCGGCACACCCTGAGGCCTGAGGCGGTGCATTTGCATTTTGATCTGGTCTTTGAGTTTCTGCAGAGCTGCCTCAAGGCCCCACGGACTCCCAGGTGTCCGAGTTTGGGGCGCTTCCTTGCTGCCCTTCTGCCGCCGTTTCTGGTCTGACTCCCTCATGGCCAGGAGCTGGCGCCACGGCTCTCTGGGGGCCAGCGCCGGTCTCCTTCCTGGAGGTCATTTCTTGAGGCTTGTATGGCCCATCTTTTTTTTTTTTTAATGATCCATCTTTTTTTTAATAGTCCAGCAGTCAGTTGTTTCTTTCTGCACCTGGCATGCCTGTGGTCCCCGGGAGCGCGGTCCAGTGGGCACGGGGACGTGGCCGAGCTACCCGGGAGCGCTGAGCACACGGGCACCCCACGAGAGACCACCGTGCGGGAACCCGGGGCTGGGGCTCTGTCCCAGGGCCGGGTGTGCGGCCCTGTCCCTGCTGCCCGATGGACGGCTGTCTGGTGTGGGTGCTGCCGCTGCTCGGCGTCTCAGGGTGCAGCTCGAGGCGCAGCAGGGGGCATGTCAGGGTCGCACTCAGTAGCCAGTGCCAGGTGGGGTGGGAAGGACGGGCCTGGGGCCGCAGGTGGGTGCCCGGCAGTCAGCCTGGTGTTGGGGGAGCTTGTGTGCGGGCGCCCCTGCAGCGCTGGGTGGGAGGTGGCCCAGCTTCCCCACCCCCGGGTATACTTAGCCACCGTGACAGGTGCCACGGATCGGGTGTGCTGGCCTCTGCCACACTCCTGGCCTCAGCCGACCTGCCGCTCCCCGGTCCCAGCCTGGAGGCCCGGGCCAGAGCCGCGGTCAGAGGCCTGCATGCTGGAGCCCTGCTGGCCGCTCCCTCGCGGCTGTCCTGGGGGTGGGTGCCAGCCTCGGCCCGCCAGTGTGGCCACCCCAGCACATGCCCCTTCTCCCCCAGTGCAAGAAGAAGCACACGCTGCTCTGCCCTGACTTCTCCCGCAGGGGCGCCTGCCCCCGGGGCGCCCAGTGCCAACTGCTCCACCGCAGCCAGACGCGCTCCTGCCGGCGGGCAGCCCCGGAGCCCAGCACCGTGCCCCCCCGGAGCAGGGCCTCCTCCGGCCACGGCACCAGGTGACGGGAGGTGGACGCTGTGTGCATGGTCGGGGGCCCAAACCCAGAAGGAGCCTCAGTCCCAGATTGAGGGCGCGGTGACCCCAAAGGCGCCCTCAGACTGGACAGCGCCGAGGGCGCCCGGCTCAGAGGGACCTGTGCATGCGGGGCCGGCCCAGGAGGGGAGGCTGCCAGTGTGGGGCCCAGCCAGCCCCCCGGCCGGTCCCAGCGCCTCAGGCCAGCGCTCCTGATGTCGCTTGACTGGCCTTGGGGTCGGGGGCGGCCTTGGGCCTTGATGGCAGCGTCCGGTGGCTGCTGGGGCGAGACCTGCTGGAACACTCGGCCACCGCGGCCAGGGACCGCGCGGCTGGTCGGCCAGCGCTGGCCTCACACGTGCGCCCTTCCCCCCGCAGGAAGTCCTCAGCCGCCCAGCGCGCGCCCAGACAGCCCAGCGCCCCTGCCTCCGCCGGCTCGGCCTCCGTCCCCCGCCGGGGACCGCGGCCTCAGGCTCGCCCTCGTCGTCCAGGGCGCCCCCCCGCTCCTCCTCGTCCCCCTCGTCCCCCCCTCATCCTCCGACTCCCCCCCTCGTCCCCCTCGGCCTCCCCATCCCTCTCCCCGGACCAGGAGGCACCATCTGGCCGGGAGGCCGCTGCCCCTGCGGTGACCAGCTCCAGCCGCCTTCCCAAGCTGCCGTCCTTCATCTCCCTGCAGAGCACCCCGAGCCCGGGAGGAGCACCCCAGCCCCGGGCCCGGACGCCCAGGAGTCCCGCCGCCAAGGACTCAGGTAGGCGGCCCCGGTGCCTGCCCAGCCCCGCCTGGTGGGACGCTCGGCCTGGCGGCCCCCGAGCACCTGACATGGGCGCGGGCAGGGCTGGCCGGGGCAGCGCGGCGGCCGCAGCCGCACAGACCGCCCCAGCCAAGGGCTGATTTAATTAGAAAGCACCCATGTCTGCTCATTTGTTCTGGAAGAGCTCCGCAGCGCCGGCGAGAACAGATGTTCCCCCCCCCAAGAGCGTCGGGGCTGCGCAAATGGCCCCACTCAGCCTTGTTTAGGAGAGAAAAGAGGATTTTATGGCTGCACACGACCCTTTCCGTAAACACTTTACAGCTCTCCGCGCGTTTGAGTGACGATGAACCCCACGCGGCGCGCAGGCTGCAGACTTGCGCCCACACGGCCGTCACTTTATCGTCCTGTGTCACGGCCGTAACGTTAATGGGAGATGCTCGCAGCCTCCCTCGCGGCCCCGCTGCGCTCGCCCCACTCCGCCTCCCGCGACAGCCTCTGCTGGGGCCATGCGCGGTGGCCGGCGCCCCCCCTGCAGGCCCCAGCTCCCCCGTCTGGAGGGCCCTGGGGGGGGCGGGGCCCCGAGGCAGCCTCCTCCCTTGGTGCTGGGGGAGCGGCCCGGCAGCCCTCGCTGCAGCGCTCCCAAATCGGAGCCGCCAGTGGGGGGCGTCACCCTCCGGGTCACACAGTGGGCCTTGGGGGTCGTGGGTCCAGCCAACAGCAACGAAAGCCCCCACGCCGGGCCGCACATGTGACCAGGGGGCCCCCGAGCAGTGGGGCTTGCACCGCATCTTAGAGCCCAGCCCTGCTCTCCCGGGTGGTCAGTGTCGCCATTGCCCTCCTGCCCCTGTGGCCCTGCGTGGGCAGCGGGCTCTGCGGGCACCTGCTTTGTGCAGCTCTGCTGCAGGCGGCTGCGCCCACTGGACGCTGGCCCCCGGTGGTGGCCAGCAGGGGCTCCCGCTGACCTCTGCCCTTCTTGGAACAGGGCCGCCTCTGCACATCAAGCCTCGGCTGTGAGGACCTGCCACTGCCCACCCTGGAGGGGCCGCCGTGGGCCTGTGCCAGCACCATCCTCCTGCCTGGGCCCCACCCTGCCCGCCCTCCACGCCCTCATCCCCAGCCACCCCCCAGGACCCAGCCCTGCCCGCCTCGAGGCGTGCCAGGCAGGGCTGCCCCACTGTGAGCACCCTCCCCAGGGTGCCGCGGGCCCTGGCGGGACGCCGTGCCCCACAATAAAGGCTCTGGCCCGTGCGTGTCCGTGTCCTGTTGCTGCCCGCGCGCACACCCAGCTCCAGATACCGCCGCGGGCTCTGGGCTGCCCCGGGGCCCAGAGGTCCAGGACCCAGGGGTTGCTGGGAAGGGGGTGCTGGAAGCCCCGCCTCCACCCCACGGCCCCTGCCTCACCTCCGGTGAGCTGTCCACCGGCCTGGCCGGACCTCCCCAGCTAGAGGAGTGCGGCTGCTCTCCCTCTCCCTGAGCTGGCCTGCGGCGCCGGCAGCACACAGCGGCCTCCGGAGCCTGCCCCGGGCGCCACGGGAGAACGGCCGGCCTGAAGCGGGGATCAGGGCGTGCCAGACCCAGCCTGAGAAAGCGGCCATCCCTTCTGGGGCCAGGGAGGCCGGCCCGTGAGCCCGTCCCTGCATGGGTCAGCTGCTGCCCGCCATGCTGGCAACGCAAAGTACAGGCCATGCCCCACCCGCAGCCCCCCGTGGCGGCGGTGTGTCCCTGTGTCTGAGGGGGGTGGCCGGCAGCAGCGGAAGGGGCTCCGGCCGAATGGTGTGGCCATCCGGCACCGTGCCCAGGCCCCACACCGGCCCTGGGCACGGCGAGTGGCCAGCACAGTGGGCGGCGGCGTGAGTCAGATTGCTGGAGAGAGCGCCCTGCTGGCTGTCCGTGCCACCCCCAGCCCCCGTGCCCTCGTGAGCCCCACCAGGGACACCTTGGCGGCGGGAGGAGGTAATCTCCCTCACGGGGGCCTGCCCGGGCCAGCTGCCTCAGCCCCTGGACGGGGGCACACACTGACCCCAGCTGCGCAGGATCTGCCCTCCCTTGTGGTCCCGGGGCCGCATGGCGGCGGAGCAGCCCCACCGAGACGGGCCGCCGGACGCCCAGCACTTGGGAAGGGCCCCGGGAGCACCGGGAGGGGCGGTGTCACCAGCCGCGGGGCCCTGTCCCTGCCCCGGGCAGCGGGAGCAGCTTCTCTGAGCTGAGTGGCCGCTGGCCACCTCCCTACATGCCCGGGGCCACCCCCCGCCCCTGCCCCGGGTTTCTGTCCTGTGGGCCGTTGGCCATGGCTCCCATATGAGGGCCGGGCATCTGGACGGCGAGGTGAGCCCGGGGCCTGGTGGGCCGGCTGGGCAGGCCCTGGCGCGGGAGGGAGGCTGGCCCGGCACAGCCGCCAGGGGTGGCTTCCGTGGGGCAACCCTGCCCAGCCCAGCCAGGCTCTCGGGCACCAGGGGCGTTGGTGTGGGGAGAGGCGGGGAGGGGCGGGGAAGCCCATGGCCAGGGGCCAGCTGGGACTTTGGGGTGGGGGCCTGAGGATGCAGAATGGGGCGGGGGTGCCCCCCAAAGGGCAGGGAGCTGAGAAAGTCCCGGGTGGGCACCCCGGCCCCCATGCACCCAGCTGCCCCGCCCACCCCCATGCTCCTCCCCCAGGCAGGGTGGCCTCCGCGCACCTGGGGTGGTGCCTGGGTTAGGGCAGGCCTGGAAGTGCGGGGGAGCAGAGGAGGAAGGTGGGAGCCGGGGAGAGCCCAGGACCCCCTCCCAAGCGGGTCAGTTTTGTTCACAGGCTCTGGGCTTGGCTGCTGTGAGCCCTACGAGGGGGGCCTGCCTGAGCCCCCAGGGACCTGCTCTGGGCTGCGGGCACTGATAGTGGGTTGGGAGGCTCCCCTGACCCCAGCCGGGATGAGAAGTCCCCCACTCAGCGGCCCCCACCCAGACACAGCACGGTGCCTTCTGGTGGGTGCTGGTGGTGATGCAGGCTGTGAGCACCCCAGACCCAGGGCCCGCCCACACTGCCCACAGCCCCTCCCCCCTCCCCGTCCTGTGCTGGGGGGGGGTCTGGGACCTGATGGAGGGGCGCGGTCACCTGGTCAGTGCGTGGCCGCTCAGTGGGAGACATACTGGCCATGAGCAGCAGAGGCCGCTCCCTGGGGCCACTGTCCTGGGGGCGGGAGAGGCGCCAGTGTCCCAGACCCTGGATGGCCCAGCGCTGGGGGCCTGGCAGGGTCCTGGCCCCCACATCTGGACCTGGAGCCTAGGCCCTGCCCCAGCCCTGCGGTGCCCACAGTCTGCTCCCCCCAGGCTGCAGCCTCAGCCCCCCATGGCCATTGGAGGTGTGTCTGCCCTCCGCGCCCACCACAGCGGGCTCCGTGCCAGGGGTGGGTGAGGCCGCAGAGGTGACCACCAAGCCCCGGGGGCCGATGAAACTCTGGGCGGGGTGTCACTGAATGGGCTGCAGGAGGTCCCGCTGGAATCCCGTGTCCCGGCACTTCCTGGGGGTGTGAGAGACCTGAGGGGGTGGGTGGCCCCCGAGAGGGAAGGCGGAGTTCTCCTCGTGCCCAGGAAATGGGCACCACCTCACTGGCCATTGGCACCCAGTGGAAGAGCCTGAGATTGGCCCAGCTGCCCACGCCCCGCCTGCGCGTCTGTGGCCTCCCGCTGGCCGCTGCTGGGGGCAGGATGGCGTCCCTGCCTCTGCCCCCCGGACTCCGCCGGCATGCGGTGGGAAGGCCTGGCGCCGGCCTGGGGCCAGGCAAGCCAGCACCTTTCCGGGGCTGGGCGAGCCGGGCACAGCTGCCAGGGCCCCTGGGTGGCTGCCCCAGGAGCCCTCGAAGCCCGTGGCCAGGGGCTCAGCGCCTTCCCGCCCCTGCTGGGAAACAGGCTGGGGTGGGGCTTGGGATCCCGGACCTGGCCGACCACCGAGGCAGCTGGGGCTGGGGCCCCGGGGCTTGAGGAGCGGGAACTCCCCTCAGCCGGCAGCCCCCCACTAGCCTGGGAGGGACCTGAGCTGCTGCTCATGCGGTGGCCGGGCTGCAGGCAGGGTGAGGCGGTGGGGGCTGCACCCTGCCCGAGTCGGGAGGCCCCAGCCCAGCCGCGAGCAGGGCCACCGCGGCACAGAGTGGGCTGGGCTGGGGGTCAGGCTGCTGTCCCCTGCATTTGGTGACCCTGCACCTGGGCAGCGCAGTGTGACTGTGTGGGTGCCCTGAGCCCCGGCCCCAGCGGTGGCCCATGAGGGGCTCCTGCCCACAGGCCTGGGCCCTCCTCCCTCCTGAGCAGGATGACCGGGTCGGGCCCAGCAACTTGGCTGGAGCCCCCTGCAGGGCAGCGGCCCAAGGGTGCAGCCGTGGGGACCCTGCCCCCACCGCCGCCACCCCTGCCTGGGCACCAGGGCTTGTTTCTGCCGCTGGTGGAGCCCCCTGCCCAGCCCTGCCTCGGTGCCCAGCCCAGCCCCCGCCGGGAGTGAGGTCTGCGCCGGGCAGGCCAGGGGTGTCTTCTCGCCGGGAAGTGAGAGGCTGTGCCGGCAGCCAGGGAGGGCGCGCCTGGACGCCCCCAGCTCCTGCCCAGCTGCCAGGCGCTCTCTGCGTGGGAGTTTCCTGAAGATTGAAATTTTTAGGGCCCCCCGGTGGCGCAGCGGTGGAGCGCCGCCCTGTGAAGCTGCCCGCAGCCTCCCTGCCCGCCGCGGGCGCGACCTCTCCGGCCGCCCGGCTCCCCCAGTCTGCGGGCTCCGCGCCCCGCTCGCCTCCGCGGATCCTCCCACCCTCCCGCGCCTGTCTGTGCCCCGGATCTTGTATAAATAAGTAAATTAATCTTTTTAAAAAGGCTGAATTTTTTAATTGTCAAAGTCCGTGGGCGGGAACCACCGAGGCCCGCCGCCCCCCGCCGCCCCTCCCGAGCCCGCCGCGGCCGCCCCCGCCCCGGGCCCCCGGCACCCCGGGCCCCCGGCACCCCGCGGCGCCCGCGCATCGCGCGCTCAGGCGGCGGCTTCGCGGCTCCGCCGGGCCCGCGGGCTGCGCACCGAGACGCGCCCTCGCGCCGGGCCCGGGGGACGCGCCGGGCCGCGGGAGGGCCTCGGGGTCGCGGCCGGCGGAGCCCCCGCCCTGCGCGTGCGGACCCTGAGGCCGCGGGGGCCCCGGGAGCTCGAGCGGTCACCGCGCCCCTCCGCCCGCGGGCGGCCCCCCACCCGGTCCCCACAGCGGTTCCCCGCGGGAGATTGACAGCTGGGCTCTGGGTTGCCATGGGGATAGGCAAATGAGGGCGGCGGGTCCCGAGCGCCGATTGGCCCGGGGGCGCGCGCCACGCCCGGGGAGGCGGGCCCGGGCGCCGGGCTCTATAAAGGGGCGCGCGCGGCCCGGCGCTCGGCCGCGCAGGCGGGGCGGGCGCGCGGGTGGAGCGCGGGGAGCCCGGAGCGCGGGCCCCCCGCCGGCCCCGCGCCCGGACCGCGAGCCTGGTCTGCGCCCGCCGAGAGCGCCCCGGCGCCGGGAGGCCCGGCCCGCGGCGTCCCCTGCGGCTGCCTCCGAGCGGCGCGTGAGAAACTTTTCCTGCGCGCCCGGGCGTCGCGGGCCGAACCCGCTCGCGCGCGCCCCGCGGACCCGCCGCCGTGGGGCGCGGGGGGAGGCCCGCGGCGCCCCCCTCCGCCTCCCGTCGGGGCGCAGCCCGGCGCGGTCGGGGCCGGCACCCGGGCGATGGCCGCGGAGCTGGCGATGGGCGCCGAGCTGCCCAGCAGCCCGCTGGCCATCGCGTACGTCAACGACTTCGACCTGATGAAGTTCGAGGTGAAGAAGGAGCCGCCCGAGGCCGAGCGCCTCTGCCGCCGCCCGCCGCCCGGCTCGCTGTCCTCGACGCCGCTCAGCACGCCCTGCTCGTCCGTGCCCTCCTCGCCCAGCTTCTGCGCGCCCAGCCCCGGCGGCGGCGGGGGCGCGGGGGCCGGCGCGGCGCCGGCCGGGGGCGCCGCGGGGCCGCCGAGCGGGGGCCCCAGCGCCGGCGGGGGCGCCCCGGGGAAGCCCGCGCTCGAGGACCTGTACTGGATGGGCGGCTACCAGCACCACCTGCACCCCGAGGCCCTCAACCTGACGCCCGAGGACGCGGTGGAGGCGCTCATCGGCAGCGGCCACCACGCCGGCCACCACGGGGCGCAGCACCCGGCGGCCGCCGCGGCCTACGAGGCCTTCCGGGGCCACGGCTTCGCGGGCGGCGGCGGCGCGGACGACCCGGGCGCCGGCCACCCCCACGGCGCGGCGCCCGCCGGCCACCCCCACGGCGCGGCGCACCCGCACCCGCACCCGCACCCCCACGGCGGCGCGGGCCCCCACGGGCGCCTGGAGGAGCGCTTCTCCGACGCGCAGCTGGTGTCCATGTCGGTGCGCGAGCTGAACCGGCAGCTGCGCGGCTTCAGCAAGGAGGAGGTGGTGCGGCTGAAGCAGAAGCGGCGCACGCTCAAGAACCGCGGCTACGCGCAGTCCTGCCGCTTCAAGCGGGTGCAGCAGCGGCACATCCTGGAGAGCGAGAAGTGCCGGCTGCAGGGCCAGGTGGAGCAGCTGCGGCTGGAGGTGGGGCGCCTGGCCGCCGAGCGGGACCGGTACAAGGAGAAGTACGAGAAGCTGGCGGGCCGGGGCGGGCCCGGCTTCCCGCGGGAGTCCTCGCCGCCCCGGGCCGCGGCCAAGGGCGCGCCCGACTTCTTCCTGTGAGCGCCGGCCCCGGACGCGGCGGCGGGCCCGTCCCCCGTCCCGGAGGCCCCTGGCCGGCCCCGGCGCCGACCGCCGCGCGAGCCCGAACCCCGGCGGCGGAGCGCGGCCCCGGCGCCCGCGCGCCCCTCGCGCCCCCGCGTCCCGCGCCCCCGCGCCCCCCTGCCGCTGCCTTTTCTACGCCCCTTTTTGCAGCGTCTTGTTTTATACATTTGTGCCGCTGCCCGGAAGGGCCACCCGGCGCCAGCCCTGCCCGCCGTCCCACGGACCCGCGTCCCCGCATGCGCCCCTGGCTCGAGGGGCCGCGCGCGCCCGCGCCCGCGAGGGGCGCCCCGTCCGGCCCGCCGAACCCAGGGGCGGAAACCGCGGGGGCTGCCCGACCCCCGCTGCTCCGCGCCGAGCCGAGCCGAGCCCGCCGAGGGGCGCGCGGCCTTTCCCCGCGAAACCTCTCAAGGGGCGGCCGGAGCCTCCCGGCCCGGGCCCCGGCGCGCGCACGAGGGCCCTGCAAGTCCTTTAAACCGCGGCCGTCTCGCGCGGGGGCGGGGGGGGGGCGTGGGGCGGGCGGGGCCCCCACCCGCGCTGGCCGCGCGCCGCAAGTTTCCTTGTTCGAGGGTTGGTTCTGGGGGGCGCTTTTGCACTTTCCCGCAAAGCTGAGCAGAGGGGGAAGAAAACAAAATAAAACTTAGACTCGAAAGCTGCTGGGGCCCGCCTGGTTTCTGCGCTCGTGTCTGCCGCGCTCCTCCCTCAATGCCCCGCCCAGGCCCCTGGCCCGGCCGAGCTGGCCGCCCTGGGCGCCGCCGGGAGCCGAGAGGCCACAGCGCTGTCCCTGGCCCCCCTAGGGCCGGGCAGGCGGGGCGTAGGTGGGGGCAGCCCGGAGGGGGCAGTCCCTAGCTCCCCGGAGCTGCCATGCCCTGACCCGGGAGGCCCCCTGCGGGTGCCAAGGAAGGAGAGGGCTGCTCTGGGGTCGCGCCCCCAGGTCCTGGGGCACCTCTGGACGCAGCTGGACGCCCCTCCCATGTCAGGGCGGCCGGCCCCTCGTGGGGGACCACGGGCTCCCCGTGCACCCCACCTACGCTGAGGGCAGCTCCCGGCACCTTGGAGTTGGTGGCTGTGTCTCACCCCCAGAGAAAGGGGGTGCTGCTCCCTCCCTGCCCAGGATGAAATGGGGGGGGGTTGGGTGTCTGCGGGGTGGACCAAACCCACAAACCCACCAGACCCGGACTCTGGAGGGAGGGGGCGGTGGGGCAGCACCTGGGGTGCTGGTGCGTGCAAGGGAAGCAGAGGGGGGCGAGGGCGCGGGCGCTCTGGACTGGGAAGGCACCGGCCAGAGGAGCCGCCCAACCCGCCTCTCTGACTCCTGTCCTTTGACCCGCTCCCTCCCTCCATCTCTTTTGCCGGTTTCCCCCATGCCCCGGGGTTCCCACATGATCGTGGGGGGCACAGATTGTGGGGGGAGAGGGAGATTTAATTTCGTGTTCAAAGATCTTTCCAAAAGCAGGGGGGACACGCCAGCTCTGGCAGGACAGCGGCTGCAGCGGCCCTGGGAGCACGAGGCCTGTGTGGCCCTCACCTGGGGCGGCCCCCCCCACCCTGGTGCCCCTCAGCTGGGCCTCAGGCTGTCTCCCCAGGTGCTGGGGCACCCCAGCTCCCCAGCAGAGGTGCTGCTGCTCCTGCAGGTGGGGCGGGGGACAGCGTAGCACTGCAGGAGGGCGCGCGTGTGTAGGGGCGTGTGCAAGCTTGTGCATGGACGCGCGTGCCATGTCACCCCCGCACATGCAGGCGGCAGGCGGTGCAGCACCCAGGCCCCGCCCCAGGTCCGAGAGGGCCCGCGGGCCACCAGGCTCAGGAGGAGCCTCCGCTCGGCCCCCAGGGCCCGCAGCCTGGTCCTGCCCCCCTCCGGGAGCTGCGATCCAGCGGCCTCGGCCCGGCCCCTCCCGGCCCCGCCCCCGCCCCCCAGGGGCGCTCCCCCGCGGGCGTCGCCGCGCCCCCTCCGAGCCCCTCCTCCGCGCCAGGCCTGCTGGGGCGCCGCAGGGACCCGGACGACGCCGGCTGGGCCTGGCGGACAGAGGGCAGCGGCCAGGGGGCCGGGGCCGAGCTGAGGCGGGTCCCGGCAGACGCCAGGGGGCGGCGCCTCCCCTCCGGGCGGGGCGCCGGCCTGGGGCGGGGCCGGGAGGACGGGCCGCCCGCGCACTCCACGCGCCCCTCGTCACTCGCGGAGCCGGAGCCGGTGCGCTCCGCGGCCCCACACGCAGCTGCCCGAGGCGTCCCGCCCAGGAGAGCTGCCCGGCCCCGCCGCGCCCCCTGCCAGCGGCCTCGCGGGGCACCCAGCTGGGCCTCATCCTCAGTGGCCGCAAGGGTGTCCCCATCCCAGACGCCAGCCACCGCGCAGCTGGAGCAGGACGCCAGCCAGGCCCGGAGAGGGGGGGATCCCCCCCTCCACGCCAGCCCAGTAGCTCGAGCCCAGTAGCAGCGACAGAGGCCCGGTGACAGACACAGCCTGCCCGTGGGCCAAGACCCCCCACACACACACTCGCACACACACCCACAGGGCCCTGGCTGCCGGCCTAGGAGACCTGCAGCTGCGCCCCCCCACGCACCGGGCCCCACACCTGGCCCTTGCACCCCCAGCCCGGTTCCTGGGTGCGGGCAGCGTGACCACATGGGCTGCCCAGGCGGCTCTCCCCAGCAGGCCCCAGCTGCAGGCCGCTGGCACCCTCACAGCTGCTCCCAGGGGGATGGAGGGGCCAGGCCTGTGTTACCTGCCAGGCCTGCCAGGAAGGGTCAAGACACCCCTGGCCCAGGGTGGCCATGTCTTCTCTGGCTCAGGGCCCTGGGCACTGGGACACAGTGGGAAGTTGCCCTCATGGTGCCCTTGTGGGACCCCAGCTGCTCTGGAAAGCGCCTGCCAGCAGGAGCATCCAGGTGGCCATGGGAGACCTGCTGGTGGTCCCCGCATGCCAGGGCACAGCTGCCGGGTCCACAGCTCTGCCCCTGTCCTGCCCAGCCCCACCTCCTCCCTGGGCCCAGCCGCAAGACCAGCCCTTCTGCCCACCAGCGAGGTCCTGCCAACCCCAGGGACCCTGGCTGCAGCGTCCGGAGGGCCTGGAGAAGGGGCTGTCACTCGAGAGCTGATGGAGCACCTGCCATGTGCCCAGGGCTCTGCAAGGGTGGGGGCTCTGGGGACCCAAGGTCAGCTCTGGGGCGCCGGGAGTCGTGTGGACCTGGGGGAGGGGCACCCGGGCTAGGACGTCCGAGGGGCACGGACTGGCCAGCGGGTGTGGGCAGCGGGGCGGGAGGGATGGACGTGTGGCCTCCTGCGGGAGGAGAGGCTGGGTCTGCCTGCAGCATGAGGAGAGGGTCGGCGCCCCCAGGTCGAGGCGTCTAGAACTGAGTGCCCCGGAGAGGCCTCAGGCCTGCCGGGCGCAGGGAGGGCGGGAGGCAGCCCCCCCCCCCAGGCGAGGCCGGTGCAGGGGTGGCCGGCCGGCGGGCCGGGGAAGGCCGTCGGGTCCCGCTCCGCGCCTGGCGACCCGAGGCCCCCGGCCCGTGGACTTCGCGAGAAGTTCCGCTCGGGGAGCCGGGGCGGCGGGGCCTGCGGGGCGGAGCTCGCGCGGAAGTGGGGCGGCGTGCGGCCCCACCCCGCGCCCCTGCGCCCCGCGCCGCACACTCCGCCAGGCTGGCGCACCCCGAGCTCGCGTGCGCGCGCGGCCCGCCCCAGGGAAGCGGCGCCCGGCCCTGTGCTGTCGGCGGGCTCAGCGCCGGACCCCCGACGGCGCGCGGCCACGGCTCCCGGCTCGTCGCTCGCGGGCCGGCGGGCGGGGCCGCGGGGCGGGGCCGTCGGCGCGAAGGGCCGCCCGGGGCGGCAGCCGCGGGTCTCCCCTGGCCCCGCTCCCGCCGCCCTGGAGCAGACACGGGGTGGGGCGCGGTTCTCAGGACACAGGTGCTGCGCCAGAATCCTGCTCAAATGCACATTCCCAGGCTATGGGGCGCCCTGGAGCCCCCAGGACTGCCACCCGGCTCCCAGGAAACCCAAGCACTGCCATGCCCTCCCAGACCCAGACCCCGACCGGACAGGGCCCCCGCAAGTTCGCAGAACTGCGTTTCAGGAAGCGCAGAGGACCGAAGCGCCCGGGCCGGTGGCGGGGTGCGGGAGGCCTGGAGGCTGGCCGGCACCGGGCACCCCGTGGGTTTGTTCCTGTGGTGGTGAACTTTCCAGAGGTTTCTCCTTCCTGCCTGGGGCTACTAGGCAGTGGGTGTCCCCGCTGGAAGGGGCGGGCTAGGGGCGGTGCCTCCCTCCCCCTCCCACAGACACGGTGGGAGAGGCCACAGGCCAGGCCACAGGCCACACCAGGCCCCTCCAGGCTCTGCCAGGCCGTCCTTTCTCCTGGCCTTTGTGCGGGGCTGTCTTCTCCGGCCCCTGGGGGCGCAGCCACACTCCATCCACGCTGTCTAACCAAAGTCGGGGTCCTGGGAATTGAAGGAGTGTGGGTGTTTCTCCACCCAGCCAGCACCCGGTGGGGGTGCTGAGAACCCCTCCTATTCCAGGCTTTTCCCAGGTCGTCTGGGAGTCTGGGTGAGGGTGGGAAGCAGGGGTGTCTGGGGCCAGAGGGAGAAGGGGGTGCTCAGCGCTGACCAGCAGGCTCCCTTTGGCTGCAGGCAGTGCAGGCGGGTGGGGGCGCCAGGCCAGTGAATGGGGCGCCTGCCCAGCCCTTGTCCCCATTAAGGGGACAATGGGAGAATAAGCACTTTGCTTTCTTCATTTCCTCGCTGTCTAATATCATCTTGATGATAATTTCTCTTTAATGGGCTATTTGCGATAATTATGATGCACTGGGTGAGTAATTGTATCTGACTCCCAGCGCCCAGCATGGGGTGGGTGCAGGCTCGGGCCCTCCCAGCCCTGGCCACGGTGCCCTCTGAGGGGCCCCAGCGGGTGAGGGGGGCTTCACCACCGGGACCACAGACCCCAGAGGCGCTCCGGCTTCTCGGAGCTGATGGACACCCCT